CCTGTACTTGGCCTCTCTGTAGCAGTCCCTGTCTCCACTTCTGAACGCCTTTCTCTTTTCCAGCCACAGCTTTTTGAGTTTAGGAGTAAACCAGGGTTTGTCATTGTTATAACTCACCCTAGTGCGTGATAGCACAATGCTGTCCTCACAGAAGTGGATATAGGAGGTGACACTGTCCGTAAACTTGTCCAAGCTGTTAGAAGGAGCCCTCATTGTGTCCCAGTCTGTAGACTCCAAACACGTGTGAAGCTCCTCCACAGCCTCGTTGCTCCACAGTTTTTTAGTCCTCACGACAGGTTTGGTTCAGGTTCAGTTACAACAGTCTTTTGTCTTAGTTGGACTGTTACAAGGGAGACTCCCACTCTGCTTACACGCACATGTCTGTTTGAGACTATCACGTGTTAATGGGACTATGCATATTCATGTAATCACAATAAAAGGAGTGCCACCTGTAGTCCGGCCGAGGTCAACAACGTTCAAGTGGAAGGAACAGCGCTTGGCTTTAGTCGGCCTCCCTCGCGAGTGATCACACAACGAGCTTTATCTTGTGTCTTGTTTTGGTGCTGCAGTTGGTTGTCTAATTGTTCCAGCAGGGTTTGTACTTAGATAAACCCAACAATATAATTTCATATCATGGTCTAAAGAGCTTGAAAAAAAAAAGCATCTGGATTTCTTGACTTTCTTGAAGATGTTTCACCGCTTATCCCAGAAGCTTCTTCAGTTCTAAGAGCAATTGGTGTAGAGCCCAAGATTTTTAAGACGCATTGGGAGTATCCCTAATAGGGCCGTGGACCCCCTGTTGATCCTCTGCCTAATCACACGAGCCAAGGGGTTAAAACAAGAATAGGTCTCCAAAGGTTGATTCTGTTCACCTGGAGCGTAGCGTTTTCAGTGAGAGTAACATAAGTTACAACATATGTTAACCTATCTTAAGTTAACATATGTTAACATATGTTATGTTCAGGAGGATTGCCAGGATTTATACATCAGGGAAACAAAACAACCTCTGGAGAAGCGGATGGCACAACACGGAAGAGCTACCTCGTCAGGCCAGGACTCTGCAGTCTATTTACACCTACAGGCCAGTGGACACTCTTTCAATGATGAGGATGTGCACATCCTGCACAGGGAGGAACGCTGGTTTGAACGCGGAGTCAAGGAGGCCATTTATGTGAAAAGGGAAAGACCATTTCTGAATCAAGGAGGGGACCTGAGGTTGTGGCTGTGATTGCAGCCATTCCCCAACTCTCTGTGAATGGTACTCATGGCCATTGATCAGTGGTTGTTGATCAATGGTCATGAGAATTTGCATAATTATGATGACGGAACTGACCTCCCAGCCCATTGTTCCCTCAGTGGGCTGGTTTCAGTCATTATGCAAATGTGCTGTTTATAAGATTGAAACCTGCAGTCAGCTGAAACTGAGGAAGTCACTTGGCTGAGTGACGAAATCTTTCTCCCACTGAAAACCCTACGTCCAGATGAACAGAATCAACTTTTGGAGATTTACTTACCTGGATGATTGAGAATGCATCAAGATGAGAATGGGTCACAATCAGCCAAGGTTTTGTGTGAACCCATTGTGAGATTTAGCCCCACCCTATCATGTGATTTACTGAGGTCAAATGGCCCAAGACGTAAGTGGGCGTTAAGGCGTTTGGTAAGAGATCTCAAAACTGGATCATAGATGGCAGACAATTGGTGTCATAAGACACCACCTCTGTTCAAAGATGGTCGTACAATGTAGAGGTCTGAGCATTCCTCGCTGCACTGTAAAGCATGCACTACATTGTTAAGTTTGTGTTTGAGAGTTCTTTGAGATGAACCAGTTTGGGTCTGAAGTACACTGGGATGACGTGCTGGGATGAGTTTGTCTGATAAACTCGCTAAGTGATAATAATATTGTTCTGTTTGTGCTTCTGATTCTTTGCTGATTTGATGAAAGCCCAATTAGGACCAGTTTGCCATTTCTGGACTGTGCTGTGCTCATTGAGGAGAATGGAAACCTAACTTTACCGGAAGGCCACACACAAGGACCAGTACCTACTCTTTGACTCCAACCACCCTCTGGAACACCAACTTGAAGTAATCAGGACTCTACAACACCGCTCATCACTTATCCTAAGTGGGCTTTCATGAAACACAAACTTA